CAAGAAGAGGAGGTGCTTATAGCTGCCGTAGAAGTTAAGGATGAGGTTCACACAGTGTTGGCGGAGGCAGTTTCCGGACTGCCGGTCACATTTGAATCCATTAAAGAAGCTAGTATAAAGGATAATACGTTGGAGATTGTTCGCCGCTGTATACTCAACAAGTGACTTTCATCTAGATTGCATGAAGAGCTTTTACAGTATTTTCGAGATTCTTTGACAGTTGTCAATTCGCGTATTATGTTTGGCCACCATATCGTTGTCCCCAGAGTTCTGCGATATCAAGTTCTTAAACATTTCCATAGCGGGCACCTAGAGATAAGTAAAATGATGTCACTGTTTCGGAGCTACACACATTGGCCGTCAATGAATCGTGATATTGAACAAAAGTGTTGCAGTTGTTGGTCCTGTCAAGAAGCCACAAAGAAACCGACCAAAGCAGAACTAAAACCATGACCAAAACCGGACGGATCTTAGCAAAGAATACATGCTGATTTCGCCGGTCCAATACAAGGTAGAAATTACTTAATTGTTGTAGATGCTTTCATGAAATGGCCGGAAGTATATCACATGCCGAACACTACGTCAGAGAATACAATAGAAAATTGTCAAGGTTGTTTGCTTGTTTCGGGTTCCAGAGATCTTGGTAACCGACATCGGCACTCAGTTCATGTCATCTGCTTTTATAAGGTTTTGCAGCGAAAGTGGTTTAAGGCATCTACAGTCTACTCCATACCATCTTCCGTCGAATGGCCAAGTGGAAAGATTCGTGGATACGATAAAAAGGCTCTGGTTAAAGAGGGAGGAGAGAGAATTCCAGAATAAATGGTCAGTAAACTCTTAATGTTTTACAGAGTTACTCCCAATCTGTCAGTGCTAGAAAGAAAATCACCAGCGGAGTATATGTTCGCATTTGCTTATTCATTTATTTGAACACATAAATACTGGTACAAAGGAGCATCGAATGCATATACGCCACACAGATCAATTGATTATATTATATCAATGAATAATAGACGAACGACCTTTGAGCAATACTAAAATAGCCCTGAACGAATTCACCTACTTTCTAGGGTCAGATTTATTTATTTATTTAAACATAAACATTGTTACAAGGACGCACCAAATCGATATGCGCCACATAAATCATTCGACTTGTGTGAGAGCTTGGATACTGCCCGGGTACCCAGACCGAAACAGGTGTTTTCCTTACGGGGCCACACCCGAGCCTTTGACCTAAAGGTTTGATCCACAAGACAGTGGAACAACGTCAGCAGATGCAGTCCCATGGTAGCCGGTCACCGACAATTGGTTCATACGCCGTTTGTTTCCGTAGGATCCTGTAGTGCATGTGCACCATTGGTTTGGAATCAGGGTTTTCCAACTCCTCCAGGCGATGTTTCAAACTTCTTGGGCGTTCAGGCGCTTTCCATAAGAGCGGTAAGTGAAATGCACAATATTGAATGCTACTATCCACGAAATCAGAAGAGATCGCAATGTTTCAAATTCGGTCTCCTTTAACCGGCGCATCCAAGAATTATTGTCGTACCTCCGGGAATTGCACTCACGACTGTGATGCACATTCTCACGAACAACAGTCCAGTCCTTCATGACCGTTGCTGCTACCTTGACGTGGTGGTCGGGCTTGCCTATCGTGATGAGGCAATCGAGCTATGCTGGCTGGAACAATCGTTCCTCAAGGTCCTACCATGCCAGACAGGTCGGTTGAAGAGCGGTGAGACTAAAAGCAGCAAACCCAAGGTCCGAAGGTGAAGTCGTACTGTCGACTGTACAGAGGTGTGACGGCAGTAAGGTGTTTCCTTCAGACAACCAGCATGACAGCGATGCTGTCTTCCCACAAGGAGGGGTGGGGTTAGAAAAGGTCGGCCCTAAAAATGCACACCTCGCCTTATCCCACGGATTTCCGTCTCCGGCGGTAAGGTTTTTTTTGAAGAACGGAGCTAACACAAAAACTACCCACGAAAAGGTCGTGTGTGACCGACCTCAAGCAGTTGTCCCTTGGGCACTGCGGTCACGCTCTCAGGTCATTAAGACCACTTCTAACCCAATTTCCTTTTCAGGTACCCCCAGGAGAACCCTTCCACGGTGTTGGCAACTGGGAATTGATAACTGCCCTCATACCTCTAACAGCACTCAAGACCACCGTATTCATAATCAATCTCCTTCAATTCCTACTATTCCTTCTACCTTGACTTTCAACACTAAACTTCCTGTTCCAGTTTCCTCCTCAAGTGTCACCATGGCCAACGATTCTAGTGCGCGAAACGCTGTCCCAGGTCTACTTAAACCTCTCTCCAGACTACACATTGGAACCTTCAACGTACGTACACTATGTCAAATCGGTCAACAGGTCTCTTTAGCAAAAACCCTAGAATCTCGTACCATTGATGTATGCTGTGTCTCCGAAACACGCATACAGGATCCCAGTGTGGTCATTCACTTGACCTCACCTCGCCAAAATGGACAGCGACCCGTTGGCTAGTTCTCGCGGACTTGCAGGTGTAGGCATAGCACTAAGTACAAGGGCAGAACAGGCACTATTAGAATGGATCCCCGTTAATAGTCGCTTGTGTGCTGTCCGGCTAAATGGCCCCATAAGAACTCGAAAGGATAGGGACACACGTCGTTTCTGCCTACGCTCCAACTGACTGCAGTCCGAATGAAGTGAAAGATGACTTACAGAAAGCTCTCTGAACTTCTTCAAAAAGCCAAATACTCAGACATAGTACTCATAGCGGGTGACTTTAATGCCCAGGTAGGCAGCTTGAATCAAACAGAAAGACATTTAGGTGGGTGTTTTAGTATTCCGGCTCAACGAACCGATAATGGTGATCGTCTGTTGCAACTATGCTCAGACAATCGTTTATTTTTAGCAAGCACTAATTTTAAACATAAGGAGAGACATCGTCTAACATGGCGACCACCTGCACCAAACCAACGATGGACTCAAATAGTCCATATTGTCATCAATCATCGTTGGAGAGGCTCAATAGAAGATTGTCACTCGTATTGGAATACTTGTTTAGACTCTGATCACGCTTTAATACGAGCGCGCATTTGTCTGCGCCTCAATGGACGCAGGAAAAGTACACTAAGAAGACCCATTAGGATTGAACTGGAGGACGAGAAAGCCAAATGCGAATTCCAGAAACAACTGAGTTCACATCTAGGCAGTTCTGTAAACAAGACTGACACAGATGCTGCGTGGAAAGATATACGAACAGCTGTGGAAACAGCAGTTACATCTATTAGTCATTTAAACCATAGGGCTCCAAAAAACCAATGGATTTCTTCTAAGTCTCCAGAGGTCTTTAAATATGGTGGTCCGATTTTAGCGATTAGGTTGACTAATATTCTGGCTAAAATCTGGGAGACGGATGTAATCCCATCCGACTGGTCACAATCACTGATTGTCCCAATATATAAAAAGGGGTCAAAATCATCCTGCGATAACCATAGAGGGATTAGTCTGACCAACATAGCATCTAAAATACTAGCCTCAATAATTATCGGGCGCCTAACTAAGACTCGTGAACTGCAAACACGAGAAAATCAGGCTGACTTCAGACCTGGTCGTGGCTGTATCGACCACATATTCACCATTCATCAAGTTTTAGAGCACAGACACGCTTATCGGCGTCCGACAATGATAGTTTTTCTTGACTTGAAAGCAGCATTTGACTCTGTAGACCGAGAGGTTCTGTGGCAGTGTCTGTCATTGAAAGGTGTACCTAAGAAGTACATAAACCTTGTGAAGACTCTTTACTCGAACACTACCAGTCGAGTCGGAGCTTATGGCGAACTGTCATATGATTTTACAACCTCAAGTGGTGTCCGTCAAGGCTGTCCACTATCCCCATTTTTGTTTAACTTCATTATAGACCTGTTGCTGGAAATAACACTCTCTTCGACTGAATTTACAGGAATTGATCTCCTACCAGGGGGACCACTAAGCGACTTAGAATACTCAGATGACATAGTCCTGTTTGGTGAAGACGCTGGCAAAATGCAGAGTCTTCTGTTGGAACTCAGTAATAATGTCAGGATGTTTGGGATGCGATTCTCCCCATCCAAATGTAAATTGTTACTCCAGGACTGGCCTGCATCAACACCTGAACTAAGGATAGGGAGTGAAGTAGTCGAACGCGTTGACAACTTCACTTATCTTGAAAGTCTGATCAGCCCTAATGGGTTGGTGTCTGACGAAATCTCAGCACGGATTCGAAAAGCTCATTTGGCTTTTGCCAACTTACGTCACCTATGGCGAAGACGAGATGTCTGTCTATCGATTAAAGGACGAGTATACTGCGCAGCAGTTCGCTCTGTTCTACTTTACGGTTGTGAAACATGGCCATTAAGAGTAGAAGATACTCGTAGGTTACTAGTATTTGACCACAGATGTCTTAGAAATATTGCACGCATCTGCTGGGATCACCGGGTAAGTAATAGTGAGGTTAGATGCAGGGTATTAGGGAATGATGGTAAATCAGTTGATGAGGTGATGAATCTTCATCGACTGAGATGGTTGGGCCATGTGTTACGTATGCCTGAACATCGATTACCACGACGCGCTATGATGACTAGTGTAGGGGATTGTTGGAAGAGAGTTAGGGGCGGCCAAACCAAAACATGGCATCAGTGTTTGAAGTCACTAACTTCTAGTCTGAACCATGTTGGCAGGTGCAGACTACCTGGTTGGGGTCCGCGTGACTATCGTAACCAATGGTTGGAGACTCTAGGTGACATGGCTCAGAATCGATCACAATGGCGTAGGTGTATACACTCTTTATCTTCCTTTAAACCTTGAAACTAAAATTGCTTCATATCTCTCTTCCTTCCTGTACTATATCCTTATATACAACCTATAATTTATATACTACTACCACCACTAAATTAATTACTTTTATGAATCCGGTGTTCATCTTGTTGTGCTAACGAGGTATGGCAACTTGGACCGATGCATAAATGTGCCTGGTCCTACGTTGTAGCTGACTGACTGACTGACCTTCATGAATAAGATAATAACACTAAACAAATTACCTCAGTGTGATCGGTTGTGAGGATCCGCTTGGTGTTCTACGGCCATTTCTCCAACATACAAATTTGATATACGGCTTCTTGTCCCCATGGAAATGAGGATCTCTCACGACACAATGGGAGTACGTCGCACTTTCATAAGTTCTGATCGCGCTCTTTAACGTTTCAAGTGATTGGAACGCTACCAGATACAATGTATTCAACAACATGTTACCCGTGCCCATGGCAACGTGAGAAACGACATAAAAGGTACTCTGGCGACAAGTACTTACAATTTATATTAATTTTAAGAAATAGATAACCAATTATTAAAGATTTAAAACTAGTCATTTATTTGGATGAAACGGAATAAAAAAGTTTTGAAAATGGGATGGAAAAATTAATTAAAATACAAAAATCACCATACGTTTAATGATATTCCTGTTGTGGAAGCAAAATATAATGTTGCTTTTCTCATTTAATTATTTAAAGTTGAAGCAATCAAGTATGTACTTCGCATCAAAACTAATTTTTCTTGCTTAGCTGTCTAAATTGAGTTAGGAAGGACGGCACTTCAACCTTGATCTCACTGTTAAAAATCATTTACTTCAATTAATAAGCCTTACTGCGTTTGTCATCATAGCCTTCATAAACAAGGTATGATCAGGTCAATACTTCGTGCATCTTAGTATAAGGTTATTCTGTATTGTGTAGTAGTGCTCAGATTTTAATTCAAAGCTTGAGATCTCATAAAACGCACTTCATGCTAGCCATCTTTTCTCACCAGCACTAAACTGACTAACCCTAAGCTATATTTTGTATAGCGGCTAGAGATCCTCCTCAGTGGTGTTGTGGATATAAAGTATAGCTCAGAATGAGAGCCAGTGATGATCCTGCTGTAGTTTTATCAATCCGTGCTTTCATAAACAATAAAATATATTTTCGAAATGAACGAAATCTATCTTGGCTATGTCCGTAATTTGACGTTTTTTGACATATTTTATATTTAGTTCTATGATTTTCCACATCATATTTCTTAACAATATTTCTGTTTCACGGAACGTGATGGATATATTGGTCTTGTTTTCTTAAAAACGTTGCTTCCGTTGAAATAAAATCCCGGTCATTCGCCCAAACTAAGGTAAATAGAGCAGCATTCAAATCTACTAAATCACCAAAAGTTGGATGTTTACACCATTCGGTGACCGTAGAATAGTTAATGATTGCTCTGACTACTGAATTATGTCCTCAAATCCCACTGCCCATACATCGATGTAGATAAGATATTTTGTTTAATCTTTGCGTCATATAGGTGGTGCATATCCTTATATTTGAAAATGCATTTCGTTATCATCTAGTAATTCAGGAAAAATACAATGTTTGATAAGTTAAGCTGTAGTAGTCGTCATATGTGGTCCTCTCTTGTCTTAATGTCATAGTACATCTGAACCTTAAAATTTCATTCATAACCTTTCATCCACAATTACAGATTATATGCAGTCAAACCAACGGTCAACGTCAATTAATCAACCTAATTTTCCTCGCAAAAGAAATACACATGTTCAAGGGTTGAAATCTAGACTTAGATCAAATATTAATTCAATTTTGTCTAATTATGAAATGATTTTATCACGATCCAAGGTACGTTGTAATTTCCTGTGCTTATATAATAATAATGAAATTTTAGATTGACCCAAATGAGGTTATTAAAGGTCTTGGTCCATATGCTCAGTGTGCCCAAGACACATTTGAATTCAGCGTAAGAGCAGCAAATATAGTAAGTTATATTGTGAAGTTTCCTTGTAAGTATAGAGAGAATAACTGTCCTAATGTTTCTTTAATGTTACTTCAAACTGGAATCCACCAACCCTTATTCATTAAATAATCAATGTGTTTTCTCTTCATTTGGATTTGTTCCTTATGTTAGTATTTATTGTTGACTGGCTGACGAAGAACAACTATAAGTCAAGAATTATTGATCAACTGTTTTGAAAATTCAAAACCACATCTGCACCAAAATCGTACGCAGAATCTTCATAACTTGAGGCAGACACGATACTATTAAGTCTGTGGTTAAAAGCTCAATAACCTACAGTTCCAACTTCACTCAATTTATTTTTGATCCAGTAAACTTAGCGTTTTCAGGCTTTTTTAGGGTCGACTTTTAATAAATATTTGCTGATGTATATGATACTTGAGAGTAACCATTACGTTCTTATATTGCGTTCTAATATTCACTGCTTAAGACGAGCTATTCATATCAGTAAACTGTATTCAAGGATCATATGGACAATAAGACAATTGATGTAGTTATCTATATGACTAAACCAACCTTTTGAGTTGTAAGCCCACTCCACCTACTTATATTCCAAAAACTGGGTATTTTTCCTAATATTTACAGCAATTTTGTTCTAATTCAAGTGCATGAACTCGTAGTTGGTCGCTTAGTTACACTTAATTTCATTCGGAACATGGACTGCAAGTTTTAAACCAATAATCAACTACTCTATATAACGTAATTGGAATAGCATTTTTAGCGTAAAATAAATTTATTTTATTCTTGGTCTTTTTTCATTAGCGTTTAATGGCCGTTGTATGATTCTAATTATGATTGGATCGTTAGTGATGTAGACGAAATATGGACCCTACCTACATTGTATATGCTCTGTCGATGAATACCGTTAATAACAACGTGGTTATAAAAAGTCAATACGAGTGTTTCAGATGTTTATGTTTCATACGTTCACTTCTCCAGACAGACGAAGGAATAAGCAGTGAAGAAAACAAATGTGTCTACTAGGAATATTACTTATTACAAGCGTCTTCTCTCTTTATGGAAATGCTTTCATATGGCCACGTGTATATAGACACTATCAGGGAAGTCCTAATCACTGCCTTCTCGTAGTGGGAAAGTTTAGGAGCTTGAGAGGACAAAAAGCGAATATCTGACTTTTGAACTGGGTTGAGGGTCAATCTAGCGGAGCTGAAAAACCCTGATTCCAGACCAAAGGTGCACATGGGCTCCAGGATTCTGAGGGAACAAGTATATGAACTTGTTGTTGGTCACGGCCTACTATAAAGCCGCATCTCCTGTAATTGTTCCACTGTCTTGTGGACTAGACCTCTGGGTCAAAGGCTCTGGTGGTTGTTGGCTAAGAAAACCACCTACTTTCGTTTAGGCACCCGGCGAGTATCTCAGCGACCGTACAACTTCCATGGTTTGTGTGGGGTCTATGTATTTTACTTCCCCTTTGTACCATGGTTTGTATTTGAATTAATAATATTGAAAAGTTTTATTTTGAGACAAACATTGGTACAAGGAGGCATCGGATATATATGCTCCACACTTCGTCATTCTGTTTTTGTAAGGACTGGAATACTGCCTGGGCGCCCAAACCGAAGCCGAGGTAATGGAAAGAATACGGTTAGTAGGAAGGTAAAAATGACTTAATAGTCACGTGGTGCCCAAGTTAATAAATTCTGTCCAAAGCCTGGGATAAACACGTATTTAACGGTATTATGTCCCACGAGTTCTATAATATCTCTTGAAATGATGAGAACCGACAAAATAGAATGAATACATTTCGCCTTCTGAGTGTTGTTTCAACTGTTGTCCAAAGTTCCGAAGGTGAAATTATATGATAATTCTTTAACTAATTATACAATCTTGTCAGTTCATATGAAATATTCCGAACGTTATGGACGAGCCAATCAAGGGCGTTTGAAGGGTTTCAAGGTCACGGCGCTAATTTCAGTACCTGATGCTCGTGCTCGGTCGGTTCACAGAGGGTTTTTACAGAAGACGTGACAATTAAGCGGCTACAATAAATGGGACTACTGAGAAGTTCCGTTGTTTGTAATTGAGGTAATCAAATGACTTGTAAACCTTGTACAGACTACCGTGATGTTGTCCTTCGATGTAATATATGTTCGAGGAAGAGGTCTGCTAGAATAAGAACTTTTGCTCGGTCTAGATTTAGACTAAGGCAAGTTATAATAATTGCCGCTAACTGTATCATAAAGTTGCCAGTAACATTGGCTTCAATGTTCGCAGATGTTACTGAAGATTCGGCTGCTCAGTGGTATGAGTATTGTAGGGATGTATATGTAATGGAAATGACAGGCTCACACAACCGGAGTGCACAGAAACAATATTGAAGCTATGTGGTCGTGGCTGAGAAAGTTTTTTCGACGTTATCATGGCTCCAGAGACCGACTATTATGGAGCCACATGGACGAGTTCCTCTACTGTATGCATTAGGATTTCAGAACCTTTGAATATCTTTCTAACCTTGCAAGTTTTTGGAGTATGTAAGAGAAGTGTATCCACTTATAGACTCTTTGTCTTCCCTTAAACTGTGAGATTAAAATTGCTTCATATCTGTCTTTCTTCCTGTACTATATCCTTACATACCATCTCTCTTTTATATATTACCACCATTAAATTAACTACTTCTGTGAATTCGGTGTTCATCTTGTTGTGCTGATGAGGTATGGCAACTTGGATCGATGCATATATGTACCTGGTTCTACGTTGTAGCTGATTGAATGAGTGTATCCATTTTAATTCTTTGGTTTTGTATAATATATTTTTACTCTGTACTGACGGTTTACTGATTGGCTAATGTTTCTCAACGTCATTTAAGATTCGTTCAAAGGTCGTCCATAAATTATAGTCTCGCCACATTATGTTACAATCGTTCAAAATTCGTTTTCAGAGTCATTATTGTTATCATTACTACTACACTATCGAGAAGATTTTTATTCTTCATATCTGTATATAATTTTTATTTTTTAGGTGCATGCTTGTGAAAATATCACTCGTCTAGTATCAGAAATTAAACAGTTTCTAATATTAGGCGATTTCCGTTGGTTAGCACGAGTAACTTCATTAAATCAAGAAAAACTGCTTCTTCGAAAATTAGATTTAGATCGTGTCAACCATCGTTTACGTGATAAGCTTGTAGCGGAATTACATAACTTAGAACAAGAAACAAGTCCAGATTATCCTATTAATGCTTTTCAAAAAACTATTCAACAATGAGAAAATACAGGTCAACCTTTGTATCTTCACGTACATACATTTAATTATTTAATATCTGTGTAACTTTTGTCAATTATAAACATCCATTGAATCATACTGATATTCTTTAGCGTCGATAATTCCTTGGTAAATTTTGATTTTAAGATAACTATTTCACAAATTATTATATGTGTATATTAAGCAACCCAATGAGTGTCACAAAACACAGCCTTGTTTAGTGAAGGCGCTAAGTAAATGAGAAATTTTCTGTTCCTAACCAGCAATATAAATATTGTTCTCTCCCCTTAAATGCAAAACTGTGCTTAAAAACAGGTCTAAATCAATGCTTGAACTAATAAACTACTTCACTTATTTTGAAAGTTCCATAAGCCCTGATGAGTTGTTATCTAACTGAATCTCGGTAAGGATTCAGAAGGGCCAGTGGGCGATTCCCAACTTGCACCTTAGTCATCCCAACATAAGCATAAAAAACAAGGTGTTCAAGTAAAGAAATATGTGTAAATGGTTGTGATGTGTTCTTATGTTTTGTCACATCGTTAACATTGACACACGTTGTACGTCCGATAGTTTCAGGACAAAGCTGTTCAAGAACATTCAACATTTCAGTATAATCCTAATTATGTATCATGTTAATAGCCAGGTGTGAATTCGCTACTGATTTGGTGATTGGCCAGGTATTGATATGACTAATCCTAAAATGAATGTGTAGAAGAACATCATATAATATTACTAAGATTATATCAACCTACTGAATACAGGGTTATGCACATGTCTTCAACCCACACTCCAAGTGTGAGGGCTAGTGATACTGCCTAGTCACCCAGATCAAAGTGGGTGTAGCGGTGTTCGAACTTATTAGTTAGTGACTGAAAATCGAGCACCTCAACAAACAAGTCACCGTCCTACTAAAATCATAGAGAAAACCAATGCTTGTAACCTTTAACGACTAATTGTTTGTTTCTGTAATCGGCTTTCAGGTACGCTTTATGTAAGACTTGATAATATACTGTTTGGCTACTCTAATCGAGATATATGAAACAAGATTTTAACCTCCATCCTACTGATTGAAAGTCACGTGATATCACTACTAGCTCTAACAGTGTACTACATTACAACTTCATGTACAACACATAATGACTAGTTAAAATGATGTCGGTCACTCCTAAAGAATTATATAGTGTGTAATTTAATTAAACATTAGAAGTTCATTCGTCTCAGGTAATTACGCTTGGCTTCAAAATGTAACAAGAATATCTGATTGAATTTTAAATAGAGTGAGGTAATAATAATTGCAAATATGTCAAACTACTTCCATATAGATAAGAAATATAATTAGAAAATATCAACATACAACAAAGATAGTACGAATTGACCATTAAGAAGTGCCTCCAAGATTTTCTGCGTGATAATGAAGTATCTCCTTATTGGATGATTACTTACTAAATTATTCCTGACAACACTCATGGAAGAGCATACGTAGCTCACCAGCATTCTACGTCAAACTCTGTCCTGGGCAATCTTTTTCATGTCTGCTTCCGATTCTCGACACAGTGTGTTCTTTGACTTACCGCTTTTTCGTTTCCCTTGAGTATTCCAAGTTAGTGTTTGCCTCGTTGTGCAGTTTTATGATTTCCTCAATGTGTGTCCTATCCACCCTCAGTGTCTTTTCCTAATTTCCTCTTCACATGGAAGTTTGTTTGTTCTCTCCCACAGTAGGCTGTTGCTGATGGTATTCAGCTAACGGATGTTGAGTATCTTACGTAGACAATTGTTTATGACTACCTGCACTGTTCTGATGATGGTTGTAGGAGTTGTCGATGTTTTAGCTCCATACAGTCGAACTGTCTTGACGTCGTATTGAAGATTGTGACTTTGATATTGGTCGACATGTGTTTTGTGTTCCATATGTTCTTCAACTGTAGTAATGCCGTCCTTGCTTTGCTAATCCTTGCCTTTACGTCTGCATCAGATCCTCCACGTTTATCGATGATGCTGATCAGTAAGGTACGCGAAACTTTCCACCTGTTCCAGAGTTTCTCCATCATCAACTGTTATTGTGTTGGTGTTCTCCGTGTTGTATTTGAGGATCTTTATTTTTTCCATTGTGTATGTTGAGGTCTACTGATGCAGAGGCTGCAACTACACCGTTTTTCTTGATTTGCACTTGTTGGTGGTGTGTATGGGATAGAAGAACTAGGTTATCTGCAAAGTCCGAATCGTCTATTTGGATCTAACTTGTCCATCGTATTCCGTCCTACCTCTTCCATGTCGAGGTCTTCAAAATCCAGCCAACAACCGGGAGATAGAGAAAGGAGGAGAGTAGGCTGCCTTGTCCGACAACACTCCTCACTCGCAATGCGTCTGTCAGCTGTTCTCCATGCACCAAATTCTAGTATGGCCCATCGTATGAATTCCGAATGATGTTAACGATCATCATAGTATCGCAGAAGGTTCCATAATGTCCTCAACACTCAGTCAAATGCCTTACATGATCAAGGAAGTTCATGTGTAGTGACAACTTCCATTCAATTAATTGTTCGACGATTATCCAGCGTCGCGATTTATATCCACTCTTCAAAGATTAATTTATTTAGCTACCAATATAAGTTTTTCAAAATATAATACAAGATATGCTCGTTTCTTTGGTGTTCTGTTGACTCAGATGTAGACAAACTACTTTGTCAAGATACTTCGAAGACACAGATACGATTTTAGACAGATTAAAATGTCTTTAATAAAGATACTTGGGTGCATAATTTATAAGTGAAGTTAATCTATGTTTACGCAGTCAATAGCATGTCGCTTTACTCGATCAAATGAGCACGGCTGTGAATTTATTTGTATAAGAGTGGGGTGTAGTCAGATGTCGTTACTTTAGTCGTATTGCATGATACTGACTCAAGACTTGTATCTGTTAGTTCACATGAGAAATTCAAAATAATGACGTTTATAAATAAAATTACTGTTCACAAATATAATGTGACTCAAAAATGAGGACATTATACGGACAAGGTCTCTCAGGTTGGAAACTTATCCTTGACTAATGATGAATATGAATCAATTAGCCAAAATCAGATACCTGAAACACTAATTTAGGATGATGTTAACTTGCAGTTCCGTAAGTTTCTTCTGAGGATAAGGAGTATTTGCTTAAATTTCGAGAGAAAGTTTAGCGTTTTGGAAACCAAACTATTGGTTCAACCTTTTACAAATCTTTAAGATGTGAAAAGCTGTTTTCGAACCGCTTAATATGTTCTGAGAATATTCCAACAAGACCATTTGTGTCTCACGCCGAGAAATGAGAACAGTTGATGACGCATATTTCTAAGTGATCTAATATACTGTATGGATGAGAAGCATCTTGCCAACAAACTAATATTTTATATTTCCGTGTTGGCTCAAACATTCATCACATTAGCCTAATTCTTCAAAAGCGATCGTGTAAGATATCATCTTCAGTGTAAGATTTCAAAGCTGCAAACGTAAACTGTCGAAATAGGGCATTAAAAGTTGGATGCAAATGTTATAGAGATATCATGAAAAACCATTATGAGGTGGACAAATTATGATCTAATCCATGGCACCATGATTCAGTATACTTTTATACGTGTCACACCAAATTTAACAATAAGTGACTATGAAAGGAGATAACTTTTTTTAGTTGAAAAAACCCGATTTCTTTTGATTTAATAAATGGTCTAGTGAAAGACTACTTTTTGTATCTAGGGTAAGAAAGTCATCAACAAAGTATGTGTTATTTAATATGAAAACACGTATCACGGTTACTGTGTACCTTATATCTAGAGACATGAGCCGAACAATTTTTTCAGTATCTAGTATTCAGTCAAAAAGTGTAACGTTAACAGTTCGTGAACTAAACTCTGTTGCTTTTTATGAAACTAGAAAAGAAGTGACAACTGATTTCAAATGAATAACAACCTAGTTTAACGACTAGGACTAGAGACAGCCAAATTTATTTGTAATAGCCAGAGGCTTGATGTTTTCCGTGAGATTCATCACAAGCGAAAAACTTGAGGATGTTGCCACTGTAATAGCCGCATCACAGCTTACGTCCTTTATGACTTGGATATGTATCCCGATTGGTCACTGAGTATTAACCAGTGTGACTTTTATCTGATCGAAATCCACTCATCAGTTTACAGTGTGACAGTGAATAATTCTTAAGGTTGAAGTTTCCCGTAACATAACAATAACTTTTTCCACGATTGTTTGCTTCTTAAACGCCTTTACTTACAGCAGTAATAACTGTATCTATTGTATTTCCATATTTGTACAGACTTCTTATGCAAAAATATATACCAATGTATATGATTGACAACTTGTCTACCTATCTATATTTCTCATTACAGTGTGTTCCCTATGTGAATCTGTGTACACATTTAGTTTTAGTGTTGAAAGAAGTTTTTCTCCTCGAAGTTAATTTCTCTTTGTGAGAATATTTTCAACTCAATAAATTCTTTCTAATTTGATACATCTTAATATCCGACCGGTATATTATCAGACCATACTGTTTTCCCACTCTTGATTTATCTGATGGCCATCCTGATTTCGATCGTTTGTGAAGCGACATCTATAGGAAGGTCTGTGTGTGGTGCTTCGATGTCCGGTGGGTTCATCTGTGCTGGTCTATTCAAGAGTTCCCCAAAGTGTCCTACCCACCCGTCCCACTGTTCTTGAATCTCAGTAATGGCTTGGCCTTCTTTTTCCTTAACTGGTCTCGCTGATTTACTGTATTTTCATGCTAGCTTTTTCGTCGTGTTATATAGTTGTTTTATATTTCCTTCTGTTTCAGCTTTCTCCCGTAGTGCCATGCTTCACTAATCGTTCACCTCGATAACCGTTATAATACAAATCTTAACGGTGCATATGATCAGAAGGCAACGAGAAGCGGCAGCTACAGTTTATTGTCGAATAACGCAGTCCAGAAAGTTATAAGCACATCAGCAAATATCAGCGAGCGAAGCAAAAAATGATACGCA